AAAAAAATCAAAAAAGAATAAAAATAAATTAATAAAAAAATAATTTAATTTTTTTGCATATTATCAACATTTAATTTTTTTAATTTATTAGTCTTTCAAGTAAATAATCACAATAATATTTGTAAATATTCATTACAATTTTTCTTTATTCTTATTTTTTTGATCTTGTCAATATATTTTATTTGTATAATTTATAAGTATGTTATTTATATGTAAAATAAATAAATATTAGACAATGTCTTATTCAATTTTTAATACATTTAAAGTTATGTAAAATAGTCATAGCATTGCGTAATTTATTTAAATAAATTTTTATAAATGTATTTTTTTTTTACAAAAATGTGGGAGTTTTCTTTTTTTGTAAATGTAAGTATTATGTAAATAATGGCAAAATATACATGACATTTTAACAATAAAAATGTTTATTAATTAATAATATTGTTTTTGCACTCATCAATGTAATTAATTTCAATAATTCATAAATATGTAAAATAATGCCTAATATTTTAAGATTTATTACTATTATTTTATATTATTATTAAATAGTTTACTAAAATGTCATAATTTTTTTAAAATTTTATAATGTTATAATTATGTAAAATAATGCACAGTATTGTTTGATGTTTTATTAAACTTATTTATTTACATAAAATGTTTTAAATGCATTATTAATCTACAAAATTTGTAAGGCTGAACAATTAGAAATTTATAAAAATATATTTAAAGATAGAATATATATTTTGCAATATATACTGTATACTGTTGTGCAGTAAAGAATATTAAAAAGTATTGTACCTAGGAAAACGTGTATTATTTTAATGTAGTTTGTGCTGTACTGTTTCTGATGAAGAATAGAATAGAATTTATTTTACTTTAACATTAATATCTTCATTTGACAAGGTATACAGTCACGCTTTTATTTTGACAGACAGGCAGAACAGACATAAATATGCTATCGACCTAATGCATGAAAATTAAGCTAAAATGTGATGATAAAATGCGCTTTTATTTTGATATATCATGCAGTCCTGATTATAAATCATATGGAAGTTTTAAGAAAATTCAATTATTAGGTAAAAAAAATCTGAACATGATTGGATGTCCTGAGGGGTTCCTGTGGCGCACCTGCCTCCGTTTTGCTGTCCCTCACTCTGATTCGCTAGTCTCATGCTCCTCCCACTAAAAATGACCAATCATTGACTCTCGCTCCCTCATTGGTCTTCACACAGTGAAGATGCATGCAAAGTCCCAGAGCTTCAGCTTCTGCCACTTCTACTCGACAAATAAAGCTTCATGTTGCTGATTTGGTCTTTTTAAGATCTGAAGCATTATTTAACAGGTGTTATATTACCATTTGTGACTTTCTCTGGATGCTCTTCAATCTTTTCAACTCAGCATTTTGTGTGTTTCAAGTGTGCAGGTGTGCTTTTAGCATTTTTTTACTGTTTGGGTTTAATAAGAAAACATATAATTTACAAATATTAGTAATTAATGCTTAAATGGAGAGTTCATTTTAAATGAAAATTCATGTATTTTTATTTTAAAATATTTTATTTTAATCAGTTAAAAATAAAATAAATTGATAAGTTTTCATGGCATTCTTGCATTGTTTAAGGTTGAATAAAATGTTACTCTCCTGAATTGAATATTTGTTTTATTCTACAAATGTGTGATAACATTTCGTCCAAATTTCTAATCTTTCACAGATTTTCTTTTTCCTTGAAAATTATTTGTCAGAAGAACAAATGTTTAATTTATTCTAATTAAAATGTGGGTTATCATGAAAATAGTCATTTTTTTATATCATTTAATGCAATAAAAGCTTAAAATGACCACATTTGTATTTTAAATTTACAAAAAATGTGGTCAGTAGTTTACAAAATTAAAAACGTTTTTTTCAACACATTTCTGCACATAATAGTTTTAATAACTCATCTCTAATAACTGATTTCTCTTTGCCATGGTGACAGCACATAATATTAGACTAGATATTTATTAAGACACTAGTGTTTAGCTTCAAGTGAGTATTTAAAGGCTTAACTAGGTTAATTAGGGTAACTTGGCAGTTTAGGGTAATTAGGCAAGTCATTGTATAATGCTGCATTCACACTAGATCCGGATGAAGTGTCAAGCGCGAGTGATTTACATGTTAAGTCAATGCAAAGATGCGAATAGACATCTTGCGGTGCGATACTCGTGAACGAAATTGCACGAGTTGAGCATTTTGCGCTTTTGACACGCTTAAAATTTTTTTACGCAAATTTGTTGGAAAATCTGAACTTCAGCGGACATTTGCGCCTTGTTAACCAATCAGGAGCCTGCTCCTGTAGGGGAGTGATTATGACAGTGCCTGTTGTTGGTGTTCCGAGGTGAAATCCTGCTGCCGACACCTCCAGGTATAGTTTCTGGAGGAGTCGATGAACTCACAGAGCTGGTGCACCTCTGAAAGGATCTAGTGGACACGGTGCCTAACAAATCTATGCTGTATTTCAGCCTTCCTAAAGCACAAAGCACAGCTACTCTCTCAATAAGATCCATGTCAGCCATTTAGCAACAAAGCTGGAGTCACCGGGCAGACAGAAGCCCTTCCTATGGCGCAAATCTGCTTCTAACGGATGATCGAATGACGCGACTAAACTCAAAATGTTTACACGTCTCTTTGCACGCGAATAGCGTGATTTATTTGTGCATGCCACGTCTGGTGTGAACACGACATAACAGTGGTTTGTTCTGTAGCCAATCCAAAACAAATATTGCTTAAGGGCACTAAT